TCACCGGCAAATCCCTAAAATGTGGTATATATACTCTACATCTGGCCTCTTTGATCAAATATAAAGTGATTTGGTTAGGTAAGGTCATAGGTCAACGTCGATGCCTGTGAGTGTGTCTGTCTCTCTATTTGTATGTGCATGTTTGTATTCGCTTATGCACGAAACCCGAACACAAATATGCACATACAAATACAGAGACATACACACTCACATGCATTGAAGTCGACATATGACCTTACCTAACCAAATCACTTTATATTTGATCAAAGAAGCCAGATTTAGAGTATATATATACCACTTTTTAGGGATTTGCCGGTGAGTTTTCTTGACTCGTTAGCTTCAATTTTGTTATGACGATGATACCTTGCTTTGATAATGTTCATCATATGACGGACCAAAGCTTAGCACCTTTTCGCCGGAATCGAAGGAGATTACCTCGGAGACAGCGTCAGCATGAATCTTCCAGTAAAGCCAATCGACAGATGGTCATGAGGAATCCGCCGTCGTCTTCTGGTGGAACCGACCTTCTAACCTCTTCACCCAACACTCCCACTCGAAATGGAAGTAGGCTCAACATTCACATTTACGTTTATTCAATATTGTTTCTTTGGTATTTTCGGTATGATTGAGTGAGACCGCAACATTTTCCTATTCATAATTGGTCAAGCCTAAAGGTAAGCCCCTACATCGTTCGCTTCATGTTGGCTATAATTGTTTGTCGACTTATCTACGAATAGTATTCCTAAAGTGACGTAGCACTAAAAATTATAACTTTTTATTCTCCTTTAGTCGTCAGTTTTGTGGGTGATGTAGACGTGGATGGCTCTGATTGTGCCAATTAGTATAAAGTGTCTCAGACAGATAAGCATGGCTTTGGAATACCCCTAATTATTCTCGTATGAACTTTGCTATATCTGATTGGGTACGTGGGATGGCTTTTTCCATACTTATACTGTGCCGGTCAATCACGAGGGGCTAACTTATCTATTTGCCATACTTTTCCTTAAAAAGCCAAATACTCCTTTACACACCCAACCAGCGGCCATCTGAGCAATCTGGACGCACTCTTCCCAGACCCCGACAACTAATGCTCAACACCTGCCGGTCTGGCGGATCTGCTTCCGCAATGTCTGTTGGTGTCGTCGCCTCGTCAGCTTCATCAAAGGCCCCACACCTTCTGCCGCCGAAGCCGGAGCCCAGCAACAGCAGATTCGGCGGAAATGAACTCACCAACTGCCTGGCCGACATACAGCGCATCAGTCTTCTCCTGCGCAGACAACACAGGCCAACGACGGTTGATGCCCTGGACAAAGCGAAAAGCAGATGTGCCTGTAACAAGGCGCCGATCGACAACAACACCACCACCATCAACACTCACAAACACAAACACAACCACAACCACAACAGCAGCAGCAACAGCAACAGCAGCAG